CGGCCATTTTGATTGGGTCACCAATAGGAAGATCCCAGGCAAGAAAATCCTAATTGCTTCATAGCAATATAGACATAAGTTTGAAAATAGTTAAATGAATCTGTCAAACACTGAATTAAACTCTATCCATAATATTGTGTTAAAATAGTGTATATTAAATAGGTTTGTACAATAAGTCCAAACAAGTTTAACCTAAAAATATTTATTTCTCACAATTATGAAGGCTGGAGGGATAGGGTTAGGGTCAAGTTTAGGGTTACATTTAGGGATAGGGGTTGAAGTTAGGATCAAGTTAGGTTTAGGGTTAGGGGTTAAAGTTAGGGTCAGATTTAGGGAAAGGGTCAGGGTGGAGGGTTAAGTCTAGGGTCAGAGTTAGGGTTAGAGTCAGGATTAGGGTTAGGGGTTAAAGTTTGGATCAAGTTAGGTTCAGGGTTAGGTTTAGGGAAAGGGTTAGGGTTAGGACATCGTTTAATAAAAACTGAAGTCTATTAGCACATTAAACTAAATAAAAACATCTTTAAATGTCCGTCTGTGTAATTTTCCTTAAAGCACATTTTGATTATCCACTAAAACTCATATTTAAGCTCATCCCCACGACCGGTTTGGACACAAAAAAAGCACTAAAAGTGTTTTAATGTTTGTTTTTCAGCTGAAATAATTCAACCATTTAAGCGGGAAAACTCAGAGAGAGTCAGACTTTGTTGACTTGACTCGTTAGAGGCCTAAATCGGGGTGAAGTGGTGATTTAAACCGGTTGGAGTCGTTTTTCGGTGTGATGCTCAGACTGGCCGCCAGGGGGCGAAGAAGAACTGAGCTATTTAAAGCGAAGAAGAAGAAATCCGTTCAAACGGAAGCCGTTTAGGCTGAACCAGTTTAAATTCACGGAAACAAACTTTTGGAAAATATAAAATATGGTGAATGTAAAACATTTAAATAAAATATAAAATACGGATATAAAATATTTACCTGCGCGCTTTTTAAAGCGAAGAAGAAGAAATCCGTTCAAACGGAAACCGTTTAGGCTGAATCCGCTTAAATTAACGGAAACAAACGTTTGGAATATATAAAATATGGTGAATATAATATATAAAATACGGATATAGAATATATAGAATACATTAGGTAAATATTCATCTGAACCGGTTTATTTTGGTGCCCCTCCGCCGCCACAGGGGGCGCTGTGGGGCTACCGGAAGCCCACGGAGGGAAGAAAAAGGAGAAGAAGAAGCTGCTTCCGGTCCACGCGAGAGGCAGCATGTCGCCTCCAGGAGGGAAAATAAACAGACCCAAAACGGTAAGAAAGACCCGGTTCTGTAGTCTGGGGGGAGGAAAACCAGAGACACGAACTAGACCCGGATCAGGAACAGGACTAGTCTAATCAGGACCATGACCAGATCAGATCCAGGACCTGATCCGAGCCGGGACCAGATCAGGGTCTGGTCCTGATCAGTAACAGTACCTGATCAGGACCAGGACCAGACTCTAATCAGGAACAGGACCTTATCAGAACCAGACCCTGATTAGTGCCAGATCAGAACCAGATCAGGACCAGATCAGAACCAGATCAGGACCAGATCAGGAACAGAACCAGGTCAGGACCAGGACCATATCAGATCCAGGACCATATCAAAACCAGGACCAGATCAGAACCATGACCAGGACCAGATCAGAACCAGACCCTGTTTCCTGTCAGTCACACTGTGTTTTCTTTAGCCTTTTTAAGAGTTCAGCTCCAGAAACGCAACAGATTATGTGTCTTAGAGCCTAAAGATCCACTTTAAACCGCAGATGCTGGCTCATCCCTTGAGTTAGGGGCCTTTTTCCTGCCTGGATTACTCAGAATTAAGTGGCTGAACAGAAAATAAATGTTATATTTAGCTCTCATTGTCTGAAACTGAGGGAGCTAACTGGTTTTTAAAGCCTTTCTTTGGTTCTTTGTTCACGTTTGAAGTCATTTATGTCTGTAGGAATGTTTCATTCCTGGCTCATCCCTTGAGTTAGGGGCCGTTTTCCTATCTGGATTATGAAGAACTGGACTGA